CAGTGTTTAGGTTGGGGTATTGAAATCTTAAGGAAGAAAAGAAATAGTGTAGTAACTGAGAAGATACCACAGTGATTTGTTCGTTAATTCATTAATTCTTCAAGAAGCTCAGAAAAAAATGTCATTATGCAGATCTTTGTAGTCAGCAAAGCATGATTTAGTTTTATTTTCATGCGTGGCTTATGCTTAGTTGATTCCATAAAGGAAGCTGTTGGGTATGGTATGGTCAGCCCACAGAGACCCAACACAGACCAGAGAAAATTAATAAAATACCGTGGTTGAGTTGCTGTGCTGTCCATTGTCATCGGGATCAATTTTTGCACTTCACGTAAGAAGAGCTTATATTGTGAGTATTAATAGTAGCGTTGTCTGCCTGCTTTTTTGAGTCTTAACTGGACTTGGAAAAGTCCAGGAGTCCCTCTAGTCTTGCAGGTTTTGTACCTGCAGCTACCACGGTGCTGTGCTAAGACAAAAGGGTGCTCTCACAAAATTTTTCTTCAACCCCAAGGTGAGGCTTTTGGTTTTGCCAAAACATATTGTCACACAAGCTGGAAAGTAACTTCTGTGTTTGGTTTTTATTACAGCAAGCTCCTGGGCTGTAAGCAAAAGATCATTGACTTGCTTCCAAAGATTGAAGTGGCTCTAAATAACATCAAGGAAGCTGACAACTCTGTGATGCAGATGCAGGGCAAAAGACAAAGGGAGATATGGCATTTGCTGAAAATTGCTTGCGTAAGTAGCTTTTGGACTATTCGTTTGCTCTTCTTTCCAGTGCAGGAGCCAGGGAAAATCAACTGAAACTCTGAGAAGACCAAAAAGGGGTAACTTCCACACAGTGGTTGGTTTTACTGTAGGGGAGGGAAGTTCAAGATGCTAAAAGTTGACATAGGTTTAGAAAGGGGGTAGGCAAGTTCATGGAAAATAGTCCAGCAGAGGGGTCCTTGGTCCCGGTAAGTCATCAAACTGCAAACTGCTGGTGGCTGGAGTACGGTAGACATACCATGCCACGTGCCTTGTTCTTACCTTCCCTGAACATCTAGTGTTGGCTGCTGTTGGAGGGCCTACACTGGGACAGGTGAGCTTCAGCCTGATGTATTCAACCTATCATGATTCCAGTGCTGCAAAAGCAAAATAGGTGCTTTCTTGTTTAGTTCAGGGTGGTTTTAAGACTACACTGATTTTTCTGCATCAGTTATGGTGACTATATGGCTGAAGCAGTCTCCTGATTCCCACATGCCTACATTCAAGGTCAGCAGAGGAAACATGTACATCTTTCCCCTTTCAGAAGTGTTGCTGCTGTGCATGACTCACAGTTTAGGACATGGCACCGCCTCCTAATTCTTCAGAGTAGAAGACATGCCATGTACAACACGGGTAACTTACATGCAGAGGTGTTTGGTACCAGCTATTTGCAGAACTGTGGAGGGTTGTATCAGCTGACTTGCCAGCCACAGGCACGGCCTAGATTGTGTGTATGTGTTACAAACAGTGCTTATGTTTAATCGCAAGTCTTGCGTACAAAATAATTAAGCCTGACTAAATTCTTCCATTGTCCATCACAGCAGATGAATTTCTTTTTTCTAGACTCAGAGCTCTTCTCGATCGCTGGTAAGCTCCAGCCTGGAAGGGACAGCCTCAACTCCAGCAGCCACGTGGCTCCCACAGAGCTCCTCAGGGAACGTACCTCACCCTCTGTCGTCTATGGCAACTCCTGAAGATGGGTAAGAGCTGTTGGGAAAGGAGGCCACTGCAGAGAAGTCAGTGTAGTTGCTTTGTATACATACGCTCTGAAATCCTGTCTTCTGCTACTGAGTCTCCAGTGCTGAGGGGGACTGAGGGGCACGTCTTCACCACATCCCCATGGGTGGTGGTTTTTGGATATGCTCAGCAGGGAGAGTTTTGGCATACTAGGTTGTCTCTGAAGGCAACTTTGTTCAACTCCTGACTGGAGTTTTAGTAACTTAACCCCTGGCCATACCGCAGCAAAATGTATCAATGAGATTTTGAGCCAAAATGCACTTCTTTCATGCCCAGCTTCTGGTGCAAGTCCCAGATAAATCAGGTCATTTTTAGTGCTTTTTCCAGTTTCAGTGATTTTAAAAAGTCTTAATTCAGATGGAGGTCTGAAGTCAAGGTCAGTACTAAGCAATCCATCTGGTTCAATATCTGGGGGTTTTTTATCCTTCCAGAAATTGTTTCAGTAGCTCATATGTTACTAATGCTCTAAAAAATCAGGAATTAGGTTGAACTCTATTCAGAAGCCTCCACTCTCTGATCCTGAGTAGGCTCCACGTACCAGGCTTGGCTAAAGCTTGTGATCTCCATCAGCTAGCACTGCTGTTAATTTCTTGCATGGCATGTTATTCTGTCTTGCAGTTGGATTTGGTTGTTAGGGCCCCTCTCTCTCAGCCAATCCTAGCTGACTAAGAGAGTTGTCAGGAGCTGAGGGTTTTTTCTCTGTGCTTCATTAGTGTCTTTACTTCCAGTCAGCATAACAGAAGGAAAGACACCCCTCAAAGATTGCTCAGCCCTTGATCCGCAGCAGCGCTGGTTTTGTGGGGGCTGGGTTGTGAACATTGGCATCAAACCATTTGGCCATCTTTTTTTTTTTTTTTTTTTTTTTTTTTTGGTGTGTGTGTATTCAGAGAAGTACCTAGGTTCTGAAGATAAGCATCTTCTGAACAGGCTTTTGCTGGAAGTCAGTTGTTTTTTCTGAAACCCTGAGCAACTTTTTCTGCTTCCTCTTTTCTGTCTGCTGCTGCGGGGCAATTTTCGCCTCTTGAGTAATGTGGTGGCACCTTTTAATAGGTGCTTTCCTCAGCAAGGTGCCTTTGGATTGCCTCACAGCTTCTCTTCAAACCATGACTTCACTGGACAAGGCACTGTACAGAGTCAACAGAAGTAAACCTTATGGCGAGTGGGTCGTGATTTCAGGCCCCTTGTGCTCAGCTCACCTCACATCCTAGGTTCTGTTAAGGCTGGCTTTCAGTTTGGTTT